AAACGGTGAGAAGGGCCGTGCTGAGGGCCTGTGCCAGGCCCACCGGGAGCAGGGCTGACAGGCTGAGCGTCCCGGGGCTGCTGCCACCACGCTGAGCCAGCCCACAGCAACACACACACCAGCACGGGCAGCTTCAGGTACGTACATAAGCTGTACCTGGCAGAGGTACTGGCAGCTGAGTTAAAAGGTTGGTATTTTTTTGATTTATTTCATTGAGGGCTTTGCCCTGTGTGATGATTGGTACTAAACTTTACCAAAACCAAACTCAAGACTCAAAACAACGCCCATTAAGGCATTTTTCTCATTTCTTGATGCCCACTTTACAAGCCAAACTGATAGTTTCATACAGTATTCATGCATAACCACGCAGCTTACATACACAAGAGCACAAGTGACTTGCAAACCCATTTAGAAGCAAGAGCTAGAGTAGAATTTGGACCCTCCATCTGGAAAAGAGCTATGTTGTTCTCTTTCCACACTTCAAACTATTGTAACAGCAGGCACAACATCAGAATACTTAATCCAGTGATTCCTTGGTCTGTTTCCACAGTAGCCTACTAAGTCAAAATGAAAAAGCTTTCCTTGTGTCCTCAAACTTTGAGGAAGCCACACAACCATAGAGCCCTTTAAAGCAAGCCAGCTGTTCTCTGCTCCCAAAATTGATGTCCAGGCTACAGTCTAGAAAACATAGAACCTTAGGAAAAAAACCCCAAACAAACAACCCACCACAAAACTAATCATTATCTTCCCTGCCTGAAACAGGACAGGAATAGAACAAAAGGAAAAAGGCTCAGATAAAATTACAAAAAATTTCTGTTTTATTACGAATAACTTACATACAAATAAATTATCTTTAAAAATACTATAATACATTTTTATATTAATTTTAAATTAAGTCTTAGAAGTTGCATTGGCCTTTCCTGCAATCAGCAATCCGATACTGTTCTTGAATCTTGTTCCAATTCATCTTCCTCATCCTCACTATCCGAGTCTTCATAGAAGGAGATAGTAGCTTGAACTGGGAAGTTTCTCAGAAGTGCTTCAGCTTCCTGATATAAGTAATCATAGCACCTTGATTTGGGCCAAAATAGTCTGAAACAAGTATACAATAAGTTTGCTTACTGTCAGACCAAGTAAAATATGTATTAACAGACAAGAAACAGCAGTGGAATTCTGTTAAGACAAACATCCTACAGAGTTACTAACGTGTTCAATTGCTAAACTGCTTTCTACATTTAAATAGAAGAAATATTCTCTGGATTCTGTGTTTTCCTCTGAAGAGATAAAGATGCACTTAAAATGCTCGTTTTGCAGCACCATGACTCTAAAGCCACTGCAACTGGAATGTACGCACTCCAATACCTCATTAACTGTATTTCCTGGGGATTTGATCCAAATAGCACTGCCCTCACTGGAACTATTCCTAGGGAATATAATGTGTATCAAAGAAGATGCCACATATATTTGGATTAGTCATTTTGTTACTGAAGGTCCCCAACCTAAGTCAGTGTTTGCAATGGTCCGAGACAAATCTGAATATGAAAGGCATGCTAAAGGTCCAAGGGGATTAGATGTTGATAGTTCACCCCTAACTCACAGCATCACTAAGGTTCGAAAAGACCTATGAGATCATCTAGTCCAACCATCAACCCAACACTACTATATACCCACTAGACCATGTCCTCAAGCCCCATGTCTACACACTCCTTGAACACCTCCAGGAATGGTGACTCCACCGCTTCCCTGGGCAGCCTGTTCCCATGCCTGAACTCCTTTCAAGAAGGATCATCCAATGGACTCCTTACAGAAGATGCCCCATGGGTCTGAAACTTAGTCTCTGTTGTACCCAGAAATCAACATAAAAATCACTGACAATATCATGGTGTGGCAAGGGCTATCGGCTAGTGAGAAAATGTATTGCAATAAATACACTCCACAGTTCCTTTTCTTCTTTTGCTTAGGGTTTGGAAGAAGGTGGAATAAACAGACAATGGAATTCCCAAGAGACTAGCACATTGCAACATGATTAAATGCTGAGTACACATTGTTTATAATGAAACTACATCAAGGAACAGAACTAGATGGTTTTCTAGCAAAAACTAAAGTGCTTTTCTAGGCCAGTGTTTAACAGAACACTGCTTCCTCTGCAGCACAAAGTACCTGACACCAGCTTTATAACATCTCCCCATTCCCAGTGTTCCCTGCAGCATTCACTCATACCTAAGCAAGGGTGCAACCACAGCGAAGCCTGAGTCTGTGCAATTGCTTACACGGTCTGTGCATCAGTGTTTGAAAGATCAGAGCCTAGATTAGAAAGAAAGCTGCATCTTCTCTGGAAGAACGGCCGGTGCGATGAAGCACCTTGCAACACCAACTAGTACTTCAGAATGCAGCCTCTCCTGCAGATTCAGCTGTAGTTACTCGTTTCCTTTTCAGAACTGACGGAGTCTGTACTGTCAGTAAAGGAGTATTTTCCTCGGCAGTGCTGGCTCAGTCCATAGCCTCTCCTGACACTCCTTTGCCATGCCTGCACCAGGACACGGGAGGTTTGCACGCTACGGCAGCCTAGGTACTACCCCTCCTCCCTTTATTTTTTAACCCTGGACACAGGGATGAGCAGCAAGGCGCTTCATTCAACCCTGCCACCACACATATAACCGTGTAACGCCTTTAAATCCACCACCACAGAGGCATATCAACATCTCATCGTAAGGATGTGGTAAATCCACAAGTGCTGGCGCTCGTTCGCCTAAGGACCTAAGCACTTGGGACCTAAATCACCCCCAAGGCACTTGGGGAGCTCCATAAATACAGAGGTGGGAACAAAAGGCGCGGGGGAGCGAGCGCTCGGCCAGCCGGGCACTAGGCTACCGCCGCGTTCCTGCCGGGCGCGCAGCGAG